TTTCAACAAGTGAATTAAGGAATCATCTCAGCTTAATTTCAACTAAGCATCATCTCGGCTTAACTTCGGTTAAGCATCGTCTCGGTTTAACTTCGGTTAAACATTATCTGGGCTTAACTTCGGTTAAGTATCATCTCGGCTCAACTTCGGTTAAGCATCATCTCGGCTTAATGTCGGTTAAGTATCATCTCGGCTTAACTTCAGTTAAGCATCATCTTGGTTTAACCAACTTGTAAATTGCTACAAATTTCAACAAGTGGTAAACGCATTCTTCTTCTCTCTGCCCCCCCCAGTGTGAACTTAAAATCCACTTGGGTTTTCATCATACATGTAGCTTCGACCTTGTCGCCGAGGTTTAATTCATGCCGAGGTTGTCGGCCTTAGTTTCTCTATTGATCTTACTTGGCTCCAACTTGAGTTTGATTTTCGGCCTCGTATCGGCGAGCCGTTTCTCTTTTCTTGTTCCGACGCCTTTGTTCCCGGCATGTCCTCCTTGGCCCTAGCATACTTCTCAATTCTGGCCAACTTTAGTCTGATCTTGTGTGTTTCCTTTTTATCTTCTGGGATCTGAGATCTGCTTATTGTGCTCTTCTCTTCTCGGACTCAGGTGCCGAGATCTTATCTTCTGGAATCTTGGATTTGCTCACTTAGGTTTTTCGGACCTACTCATCTAGGCTGAGATCATGTCTTCTAGGATCCGGGATCTGGAATTCGGGATCTGCTCACTTAGGTTGAGCTCTCGTCTTTTCGGGCTTACTTGTCTAGGCTGAGACCATGTCTTCTCGGATCCGGGATTCAGGATTTGGAATCCGGGATTTGCTCACTCAGGATGAGTTCTTCTATACTTGAATGTTATCTTCTTGGGAGCGCTCATGCCCCTTGTCTTTACATCCCTTCTGGAAAGGTCTTCGTTCCTCCGCAGGTATCTATCCTTCCATACCTGGAGGTCGTCTTCGTTGCTTCGATCTGTTGTCTTTGGTGCGTCACCTTCCTGGCCGGCTTCTTTCACTCCGTGACTCTGGTCACGAGTTTCTGTGTTGCTATTGTCCCTTTCAACGCTGAGGTTGATAGATCTCCTATTCCCAACAAGAGCGTTGTCTCCAATCTGATCCTTCTGTCCGTCACTGGCCATCTATTCTTCTTTCTTTCCCACAGACGGCGCCAAATTGTGTGGGTGATTTTCCAACCACACTGCCCGCTTAGTAACCATCTGGAGAGCACTGGCAGAATAGATGACACCTGACTGACCTGCAACAAAAATATAAGAATCCCGCGGTGGTTTCGACCATCCGGGGGCACTCCGACGATCAAGTCAGTATATCTCTCAAAGATAAATCAAGTTCTAAACTCACAAGCTTGAGTATCAAAAACATACCTTAGACCCATGGGGGTGCCTCTCTTTTATAGCCAATACAATCCTAGTCCCAAAAGGAGCCTGGCCCTAATGGTCTTAGGATTACTGTTAATCTGGGACTCCCAGTAGGATTAGGATAAACTCTCTAAGAGTCTTATCTTAATACAAACTGAAGTCTTATCTTATTCTAGAACTCTTGTCCATATCCAAGTTGAGTTTCCTCTTCATTCTAGGACTCTTGTCCCTTATCCGCTTATCTCGGATTCCGATGTCTTCGGAGGCAACCTCGGCCTAGCCAAGATGACCTCGGCACAACGACCAAGACACGTGGCACCTCGGCTGACACGTCGGCGTCACCTTGCCACGTGTTGGTACTCAGAAAATATATCCCCACAAAAAGATAGTGAAACAGATCATGAACCATGAATCCTCGGTTGCCCTCTTTCTCTCTCTCAGTCTCTCTCTCTATCTATATATATATATATATATTTGTTGTTGAAGAACATTTTTTTTTAAGTTATATATATTTGCTGTTGTTGTTGATGATTGTTGTGTGTTGAAGAACAGATCATGAACCATGAAGCCTCCATTCTACAGAAATTTTTTTTTTTTTTGGTTGTGTGTTGAACAGATCTGCCGGGGTGTTTCGGGATCAAGGAAACCCGATCCCCGTTAGGAGACGGAGGTGGGGGAGGTGAGGGGTTCCCCGTCGGGAGACGGGGATGGGGAGTGTCATCCCCGGCCCCGCCCCGATCCGTTGCCATTCCTAGACACACATCACTTTATTTAGACCGATCACAAATTTTTATATCATCTTATATTTCTCAATTACTTAACACAAAATTATAAGTCTCACTCATTTTATTAATCACAATGTATGTAGAGCGTTACGTGACACTGTCTCTAGACCAATCAATAACTTCTCTCTTCTTTCACGTTTACTTTAACACTCAGATGGGGCCGGGCGGCTTTATAATTATTTATTTTTTAGACATAATTTTTTTTTGGACTAGGTATAGGGTTATTTGACTCGTCCAATCTGAACCGTCTACACCTATTTTGGTGGTTTTGTAGATTCGTTAGGATCGGATGCAGGTTAAGATTTTTCTGTTTGCAAGTTGCAAGCGGATCGCGAGTTTTTCCTGCACCCGCACTCATTTACCCGCATCTGTATACATTTTTTTTTTAAAATCTGCACCGTCAGATTTTCTTACAAGTTTTGTAAGATTTTCCATATACAATTATTTGTTTTTTTATTTTTATTTTTCTCATGTTTTATTTATCTTTCAATTTTTAATTTTCCTTCCATCTTCTTCTTAGGCCGATTTGTATTCTATTAATCTAGCTTTTGAAAATAAATGGGGTTATTGAAGTTAATTAATGTTATCATTTTGATAATGTTGTCCAAAGTGTATTTTGTAGTGTCTAGTAGATGTCGGACATGAATTAATGAAGAAGAACAATCGACACCACACATGGGCCCTGTAGATGCATTGTTAGAAAAGTGGGATGAAATTATGGAAATTATAAAAATACCCAAAAAGAATATTTAAAACATGGGAAAAAAACAAATCCAAAAATAAATTCTTAAAGGAAAAAGTCCAACCCGCAAACCCTATCCACACAAACTACAACCCGCACTGCAGGCAGTTACAGGTTCAATTTTTCACAAATTGCAGACATACGGATAGGTTCAAACCGTAAATCAAACTGTCAAAAACGAATCCACAAACACCCCTATTTTGCTTTGGTTTGGGTTTTTTTTATTTTTTATTTTTTGAAAAAGTTATTTGGCGATGTTAGGCACCACCACGTAATATCCCAAGAATACTGTGATGAATGATGGAAATGGGATCTATCATTTTATAGAGTAATGATTCATCCCTCCTTTTCCCCCCACCCCCTTTGACCCCCTCTCTCTCTCATTGGTTACCTTTTCTTTTTCTTTTTCTTTTTTTTCCTGCTCCTCCAATCACCCCCTGCCACGTGGCAAAGGGGGTAAGGGGGTGACCCCCAAAAGGGGGTCCCAAGCATTATTCCTTTTTATATTAGTATTGTAATTAATGGAGAAAACATAACGGCGTAGCATTTGGTAATGGGTGGATGCATTGTCATGTGGTGTCTTAAGACTAGGATTGCAAATAAATTAAGTCGAATTGAATTTTTCAAAGTTTCAATTTATTTATTAAGAATTAATTGAGCTAGAGTTCCAACTAAACTTAAGTCGAATTTAAATAATCGAGCTCAAACTTGACTCATCAAATATTTGATAAAATCAAATTTAGTTCAAGTCAACTCATTTAGAAAACAAGCCATTGAGTTCAGAGAGAGAGATCACTCTCTCTAGGTGATTTCCAACAATACTCTGACAACACTCCGGCGACACACTTTACACTTCTAAAGTATAGATCTACACTCGTAGATTATAGATCTATAGTTTTAGAGTATAGATCTGGACTTTTTATGTTTGAAATAAGAGTTTGAGAGTTTTCTTTGAGAGTTTTTTGCTCCGATTTCGGCATAGATTTTTGGATTTTCGATACCCACAATAGTTCTCTCCTCTCTCAAACCTTCTCCCATATCATTATAGTGTATTTCCTTCTCAACTCTAATTTCTGGCAGTGTTCGATGTCTGATGGTGGCGAAGTTGGGCAGGAATGACAAGAACGACGTCATTGGGGACGGTGGACTTTCAAACAGATCTTACTTTCTAGACCACATCTTTGAAAAGATTGGTAGTTTTCCTTGAATCATAACTTCTTCTTCTTCTTCTTCTTCTTCTTCTTCTTCTTCTTCTTCTTCTTCTTCTTCTTCTTCTTCTTATTTTTTATTATTTTTTTATTTTTAATTTCACACAATTTCATAATATAAACTCAAAATGTCATAACTCTTTCACTACAAAAGTCACAAATTTTTTTATTATGTTACAAAAGATTTGAAGATGGGGGGTTTAGGCAAAGTTTAAGCTCGAACTTGAGCTTGAAAAAAAAAATTAAACTAAAATTAATTTACTTATTAAGATAATATATATATATATATATATATGTATGAGCAAAAGATATAAAAATACTTACATTAATAATAAATTTCACCAATCAAATATATAAGTTTACATAAACACCAAATACAAATAAAAAAATAATCAAACTTAAAAATCAAACTCAAAAACCTTCATTTAATAAACAAATCAAACTTAAATGAATTTTAAACGAGTGGAACTCGAATTATTCATAAATAATTTGATTCGTTTGTAATCCCAAGACTACCTAATTTTTTTTCCTCTAGTGGGACTCGACTCTTTAACATACACTTCATCCTGACTTGATACATACTGTAATACACACTTCGATACGCTAAATTAGCAAACACTCGCTTCTCACAGCCAAACGATTCTTCTCTTTCTCTTACAAGATGCTTTTTTTCCTCCTCTTTTTGGCTATTTTCCTACTGAAATTTGGACTTAACAAAAGTAGCAGAACAAAAAACAGTAAAGTAGATCAGGCAAGTTTGGCAATATGCTATTTTAGTTAAAAAGTCAAAAAATCGCTAACAAAAAATAAACTCTCTTCTTTACATTTTTGTATATCTTTTCGAAAAAAATTAAAAAGACAATTAAAATAGTTAGTTCCCAAAACAACCAGAAATATGAGGAGAGTGAAGTGGCAATGAAAATGCATTATGTTACATGGGAATTACAAGCAAGGGGCTAAATTGAATCCTAATTTCATTGACAAGAACTCAGTAATCAATCACGATGACTGCTTTGCTTCTGATTCCTATAAATAACAAATATATTACAAAACAAAATGAAAAAACCCAATGAAACAAATGAACAAAACGAGAAAAAACTGTCATTTAAACTTCACAAGTATCAGCTGTGCTATCCAAGGACTCCACTTGCTGGTGTTCAGACATTGGACTCCGGTGATATGGTTGGTCCACATCGACAGTAACCTCATCTGTCATGGCAGATAAGGAATGCTGGTGATGTTTTCCATTGCGTCGCAATTTTGAGAGCACTTGCACAATGTCCCTCATGGAAGGCCGTTTTCTTGGTGCACGGTTGACACATTTGTATGCAAGAGCTGCCACATCATTGAGTTCTTGCACATCGAATTTTCCATCAAGACGAGAATCCACAATTTCTTCCCACCCAACTTTCCCCTCGGTGTTCATTGCTGCCTATCCATCATGATAAACACATTAAATAAAAAATGCTATACAAAATTGATATACATTAAATTAAAAATGCTACACAAAAAAAACATTTTCTTAAGTTACTTTGTACTTTCATTTGATTAATTTCAATAGAGAGAAAGGGAGAGAGAGCATACGAGTTCAACATACTCCATCAAACCCTGTTGAGGATTTCTGCCTGCAATGAGTTCAAAGAGTAACACTCCAAAGCTATAGACATCACTTTTTTTAGTGAATGCCCTCGTTGATATATATTCAGGATCAAGATATCCAAAAGTTCCCCGTATATTGGATGCATGTTTGTTAACCATCTCTTCCCTAGAAAGCCCAAAATCAGCTACCTGCTTGAACCAGCATAATATGCATTCAATTGTAAAAAAGCCCACACCTTTATACATGACAACTAAATATAGCTTCTTTCTTCAAACCCCCCCTCCCCCTTTTCAGCATGTGATAATAGATATTACTCACATATGCCAAAATGGCCAGAAAAAGGAGCTTTTGAGAATTGTTCCTTTTTTTTCTTGAGAGGCATGAAGAATTAACGGTCAACAGAAGAGACATACCCTGGCTCGCATGGACTGATCCAACAGAATGTTGGAAGATTTTATATCCCGATGTATCACAGGAGGAACTGCCTGAAGTAAATAAGGAAAATAGCAGCAGGAAAATCATATGACCATAACGCACCAGTGAATGCATGTAAAACACAGGAGCACAGTGAAATTTAAAGCTTACCCCATCATGAAGATATTCCAAGCCCCTTGCTACCTCTAGAGCTATTTGAACCCTCAAACCCCAGCTCAAAGGTTCATAATTTTCATCTGAATATCCGAAGATTGAATATTAGAAAAATTATGTTATCATTTCTTGAAAAAGCAGAATTAGATTGATGTTAATTTATATTCAGTTTGTTATATCGGCAAAAGAATGCACATTAAACCATTTATCTCTGCTGCTTGCAACCAAAGTACATTTTTCATAAGCTTCTATAGATACAGTTCATTGCCAACTTACTATACAAATGGGAGGCCAGACTGCCTTTACTCATGTAGACATAGATAAGCATATGCTGGCCCTTTTCTGCACAATATCCCACCAAGTTCACAAGGTTCCTGTGATGCAACCTTCCCAATAACATAACCTGATAACAAATAAAAATAGATAAAAGCTTAAGATTGGAGAAAAATTACTATTTAACTCCAAAATATGTCCATCTGAACATGTTATATATGGTAATTTGTTTTGAACATGACATGTTTGAAAAATTAATAAATAACCCCTAACCTCTGTTTGGAACTCTCTTTCCCCTTGCTTGGAATCAGTTGCAAGCACCTTCACAGCAACTGTCTCACCAGTTGACATCTGCGCTTTATAAACAGGACCAAATGCCCCTTGACCTATCAATGTGGTAAAATTACAGGTTGCTTTTTGGAGGTCCCTGGTTGATTATCAAGAGAAACAAGATTAAGAAAGAAAAAGGGAAGATGCTTAACAGGACTACACATGGAAGCAAAAGAACTAAATAAAAAGAAAAGGAAAACAAAAAAACTACATGGTGCAATATAGTTGTTTTTAATGATCAGTCAAAGTAAGTGTAACTTTTATTAAAATAATCTTCCACTATAATTTTAAGGCTACAAGTGGAAAAAAAAACAAGAAAAACTCAACGGGCATCAAACTCAAATATATACTGTGCTGCAGAAATCAAATTTGGCATCAACATGATTTTCATCACAAAAATCCATCCATTATAGAACAAACTTTGACGTGACATCAAGTATTAAGGTATACTAGTCTAATAGCTTCTACAAATAACATACTTGTAAGGGTACTCGAGTATTCCAGATGCAGAAACCAGATTAGCCCTTTTAAGTCCTCCAACTCCAAGCCACAAAGACATGCCATTCTGCACAGATGTTCTCGGTGATTCTGTACCAACAGAAGAATCTGATAATACTATACAAGAATCAGCACCGTTAGTACGAATGGGGATAGTTGCCGCCCTCCGAGAACTGCTATTTCCTATCTGTGAATGTCTCCTATGGTACCTAACGCAAAACAGTGCAAATATAGCCAAAAGCACACCAATTACCACCCCTATGGAGATCCCAATGATCAGCCCAGATGATTCTCCTTTCATCTCCTTGTTTGAGCTTCACTATTTGCTATTCAAGAATCCAGTCCATCTACAAACCTGAAAATGATTAAACAATCATTAATGAAAACTGAACAAATAGGTTTCATTCCCCACCCCCCAAGTGATTATCAAATCATGAAACAATTTTTTTTACCCTTTTTGGGTGGCCAAACTTAGGTTTTATTTACCAAAAGGGCAATGGCATACATCTGTTGGAAGATATGCCCAGGCCTAGAGGCATCCTTCCAATACAACACACAAGCCCTAGAGCTGAGCAACTCTAAACATTAAATCTTGCTAACTAAAAGACTATAACAAGAAGTCCACCTAAATACAAACCCAATCTACACACTCCTGAACTTTATAGTTGAGAAGTAATGACGTTGAAAATTCAGAAGTACACAACAATTAAGCCCAACATATTAACAAAAAATTGAAGAAAACTGTACATTCCAATAAGTAAAGTGTTCTTACAGAACTCATTATGCAACATCACACGGTATAGAGACAGTAAACTTAAAAAATCCAAAAATTGACTTCATTTTGTCCAATAATCAGTTTCTCCAGATGAACAAAGAAGTGTTTCCATAAATTAGTGAACACAAGTTGAAGTTTTCAAAATCTAACAACAAAATTTATTAATTTGTTAAAAAAAGAAAAATTAAAATAACATCTGCTTTGCCTGTACGATTCACAATAGTAGAAGCAGTATGAAAGCGAGTAAGAGAAGAAATTCATGCATGCAAATCATACATTAATCTCTCAATTTTCTATCGATTCAACAGTTCGAGACGAAAACGACAGGATCAGAAGCTTGAAAATTCAGTCGACGATTAATCAATTTACGCTTTGTTTGGTTGATGATAAACTGAAGCATGAAGCTAAAAAAACAAAATTCTCACACAAAATGAGCCTAAAACAACTATGTCCGGCTTTAATTGAAGTGAGAACTTTCAGTTCTCTGACCAGTCCAACAATTTTCTCAGCAACCAAACAAAGAGTTCACAAAACCAGAAACTAATCAAATTTAAAGCCAAAAGCATGTCCGAAAAGCAAAATGAGAAACACATTGATACAAACAAACAGAGAGATTTCATCAATATTACCTGTTGATTGTGAGAAAAAGAAATAAACTGAAAGTGTTGCGCGAAAACAGATTCGAAGAAACAGAATCAAGCAGAGGAATCAGAGGAGCAGAGTTCGGAGAGGGTTCGGTACACGATCTGTTTTTGGGAGAGTGCCAAGAAAACTCGAAAAACGAAAAGTTCACTCAAATACATTATACGGAATTAAAAAGATAAGTATGCTATTAGCTGTTGTATTTTTTCAAATTCCTTGAGTCGCCGTTTGGGCCTTAAAAAAACCCGCCTTTGGGCGAGAGAATTTTACGTACCAAAAATAACCCTTTTTTAAGACAAAAAGAAACAAGTTGCTAGATTTGATTTGGGTATGTATATTGTAAAAATTATTAGTAATTCGAATTTGAATTTAGCTAAATCATTTGAATTTGTGCATTTTGATCGACTGTTTAGATCATCATTCGGACGACCAATGCAACACTTTTATATCACGGTTGTCACTCTTGGTGACCGTGCGATCACCTTTTATTACCGAACGACAGGCTGAACAATCAACAAGTCAAAATTCAGACGATTCAGACAAACTAAAATTGGATGATATAGCATTGCTCATATATATTGAGTCAATCTTTGAAATTTTCATTAAGGGATTTTTTTGTTTCTTCCCTTATTTGAATTGAAGGATGACATAAAATGGTGACTAGTTTTGAGATCCTGACCATTTTCATGACTTTAATTTTAAAGTGATAAAAAGTTGATTGTTTAATTGTATAGTTTAAGTTGTTTAAATTTTAAAATGACTTTGTTATTTATCAAATCAGGTTTTATTGATTGTTGATTGGGATGGATAGTGTTTAATTAGACAATTTGAATTCAAATCATAAATTTTAAAAACTAAATAAATGAAATTGATAGTTTAGAGATTGCATGAAAAAAAAAATGACAATAATTAAGCAAATAAAAGTGAAATTAACCCTTCAATAATTTATTAGTTAAGTTTTCAAATTTAATGAATCAAATGAAAAAATGTACTAATGGAATTTAAGAAAGAGATTGATAATATAATTATAAAAATTGAAAATAGAAGGACTAAAATAGTTTGTATTTTAACTTAGCATGATTACTTACCTAGGAAAAAAAAAATCTATGAACACAGAAACGTTCATAGAACTCAATATATAGATCGATATGGCTTTTGAAAGTAGACCCAATAATAAATCCTGAATTTTTTTATATTTTTAATTGTATGTATTTTGTGTCTAGTTATGTAATCAGTTATCATATTATTAGGAGAATGTTTTTATTTTTATTTTTATATAGAAAGTACAATATATTTTGGTGGAAGCATTAAAGGACCACATTTTAATAAGCGACTGGGCACCAAAAAATTGAATGGCCACGCAGAATTTGTAGGTGGGATGTTTATTAACTGAGACTGAACTAAAGTCCTATCTGCTTGCAATTCAAGAGTGATAATTAAAGCAATTAGGTCCCCCAAACGCATTACTTACTCTGATGATTTTAGTTGAAGTAATGGTTGTTGATTTTAGCAGTTAACAGGTGTGAAAAAAATGACAATGGTAGTAATCAACTGTCAACCTAACCCACCAAATATAAAGAAACAACAACATAAACAAAAACCTGAATATTTTTTGAAGAAAATGAAAGCTAGCCCCCACCACCATGAATCCATGATCATGTAATCATATAGTAATTGATCAAGTTTTGGACATTTGGAGACATTGTGTATTTTTATTATTGTTTTGTATTAGTCTTATAACAATGGGTAGTACACCAAGTTGCATGAAGGTCACCTAAATTGTCTCAACCCATAAATTGACCATAAGTTCCATTTATAAAATAAATAAATAAAATAATCAAGATTCATAAGGAAGGTCTCCTTATAGGTACATCTACTATTTTCAAGATGTAATGGGTTTTAAATACGAAAAAGTTTGAGAACTCAAATAAAATCATTTAGATTTTTTTGGATGGCTAATTGTGTGGTGGAAATTAAAATTTCTGTAATATAAGATCTATATGTGGGATAAATATGAATCACTAGATAATAATTCTGAATAATTTTTAAATAATTTAATCTAAATTCGTAGTATTGCTATTTAAATAATATACATGCGCTCTAATACAAGTTGTGACAACTGTACAATTATGAACACAAATTTAATGTTCAAAACATGTCCCTCCACATGCATTTTATTTTGTGGGGTGCAACTTGAGTACATAACATAAGTTCTTGAATTATATGAAAAAAAATTCATCTATATGTGTCTTTTGCAAGTTGAATGGCGAAGATCACGAGCCTCTCAGTAAAACAATAAAACAATGGACATGACATTATGTTGTTGTTTACTTGTTGCTATTGTGCATATTATTTGAAAGGAAATAAATGCAACCATTAATTACAAATAATTATCTAAATGCTAGAAATACTATTTTAGAAAAATATCTTTACTAATATAAATGTGAGCAGATGATTCGGTGTCTAATAGTGTGGTGACTTCTCATTTTGTCATATGTTAAATTTTTCTATCTTAAAATAAAAAATATTATTCAAAGACATGAGTAAGATTTAAACTCAAGACCTTGGGTTTTATTAAGGACATTCATACTATTTAAACAACATACATATTATGATATTAATTTCTTTATTATTTGTTTTTATACTTACTTATCTAAATTGCACACACATTACGTGTACCGCCCACTAATATGTATATATATATATATAGTGACTGTTAGATCCGTGATGTACCTCTTTAAAAATATGCAAAATAGTCCGTCTAATAAATAGTTGCAGCATGAATAAAGATTGTTGAATGTCATTTTTAAGAAATAACTACGTGCTTATAAACCCGTGTGAATGAAGAATACTGAATTTGATTGGTACCTTACCCTTACATCAATGCTTTTTCTTTCTTTTAGTTTTGGCTAATCATAAAAATATAATCTTGTAATTTGTTTCATTGTGTCTTTTTATGTAGGGATGACTTACTCTAGATGAACCCAACGCTGACTAAATTTTTAATATGAGAAAATAGTTAAACTTCACCATTAACGTACGATAGGCTTCACATGCATGGACATATTATAAGATATTTTGAACAATTAATTAAATTAGATGCATAATCCCAAGGTTTGGTTCACAGCTTTATATATCGTACGCTTGAACCACAATCACAGAATCACAGAACGTGTGAGATAAAGTCTAAAAATTCTGTTATGTATATGTTAGTACTATTGACAACTCATTGTACAGAGGATATGGCCCATATGGGTAGTTAAGATGTGTGCCTCCTGCGGACATGGTGGAGGCCATGACTAAGTTCAAAAACAAAAAATAAAAAATAAATTAATGAAATAATATATACAAAAGGTGTGCGTACCGGATTCCGCACTAGATGAAAGTAGATCGGGGCCCCGCACTCGGTTGGACTGTCCAGGGACTGGGGTTGTAACGCCCTCAAAATAACACATTAAACCCGACAATACAGACATGCATTGGTGATAAAGATAAACATTCTTCTATTCATGAGAGTAGTCCTTTACAAAAGTATTACATGTTAATCAACAAAAGCAAATGCCCTACGGGCTTACAGCTTTCCAAGTTAACACTTGATTACAACAAAATAGTGCTAACTCATTTACACATTAAGCCCTTGGCTTGAATATACATTTAATACATCAAGAAATAAAACAACAAAAGTCCGCCTGCCTCTAGCCTCCCAAGCTACGTCCTTGGAGGTGGCATGCTACCTGTACCTGAAAATGATATTCCCATATAGGGTGAGCCACAGCCCAGTAGAAATATACTAAACCAAATATGAACAATGACTAAAAGATTAGTATTTAATAGATGGTTAACCAAGATAATCAACCAC